TGCCCTAGAAATTTCAACTGACTCTTTCTCATGCTAAATCTTTGCTGGTAGTGTAATGACTATCGTTGCAGAGTAAAAAAAATTGGAAAAGCAAGTTCAAATTTCGACCGCGGCTCTTTTTAATGCTCTTGGCAAAGGCATGAACCCGTCTCTTCCTTGACTAGCTTTGTGTAAATATAAAGTTAGGTTTAAGTAAGGCGGCCGATCTGGAAGGAAGACTGTGCAGCACAACCAAAGAGAAGGCAACGGGAAATCAATCTACTGTCTCTCTCCACAAATTTCATGGAAATTAACTGAACAAAAAGAAAGCTGTGGAGAACCATAATCGGTTACGTCTGGAATGGATATCGCATTTAAAGTAGATAATTAATAATTCCTACTCACACAGGTGTGTTACATTTTTGCAGTCTCTTAGGTCATATGACTTCCCTTACGATCCCAGATCCACGCCAAATCTCCTCAGACTAAAATTTATTCGAATCGTTTCGTATTTGAGAATTGCTATACTTATACCAGTTTTGATGGCATCGTTCTCGAACAAAGTATTCTTTCTTGAAAATACTAAGTGTAGCAAATGCGACACTAGCTGGAATTAGAGTTGGGACTTTTAAACTTTCAGATTTTTCTGGGTGTTCTAATTGATTCTGGTTCTTCAGATTTTTTAATTGGTTTCAGAAATTTTCTGGGTGTGAACCAGATAATTGATTCTGGTTCAGATTTTTCAAGAAAATCCAATTAATTGGTTTCAGATTTTTCTGGGTGTGACATCTGAACCAGATAATTGATTCTGGTTCAGATTTTTCAAGAAAATCCAATTAATTGGTTTCAGATTTTTCTGGGTGTGACATCTGAACCAGATAATTGATTCTGGTTCAGATTTTTCAAGAAAATCCAATTAATTGGTTTCAGATTTTTCTGGGTGTGACATCTGAACCAGATAATTGATTCTGGTTCAGATTTTTCAAGAAAATCCAATTAATTGGTTTCAGATTTTTCTGGGTGTGACATCTGAATCAGATAACTGATTCTGGTTCAGATTTTTTAAGAAAATCCAATCAATTGGTTTCAGATTTTCTGGCTGTGACATCTGAACGAAATAATTGATTCTCCCCTGTTAAATGGTTGATAGTAACGGTATCATTATCTGTTTGCGTGAATTAGTTCCAGCCGAATTAAATTTGTCAAGTGATCATTTTTATTTCTTTTAAGAATACAGTTGACCCCAATGAGGATGGACGCAAAATATGAAAAGAAAAAAAATAAATTTCTTAAGGCAGGGTGATGGAAAAGATAAGAGTCCTTCGCACTCCATGTGGAGTCAGTGTTACTTCTGGGGTTTCTTTAACAAGGAGTGGAGTTCTCAGTCACAAACCCAACCAGTTTTGAATTTAAAGTTATCTTTCTCTTAGACTGGATTCCAGCTAAGGCTAGAGAGCTCAGTCTACATTACTATTTAATCCATATCTGGGTAAGAAGAAATGGACTTATACCTTCCCTAAGTATGTACGATATTTGAACTTTGCATGTTGAACACATTTTAGACGCCGATAACCGCTACGCCACGCGGAATGCCAGAAATATTGAAAGGCGAATAGAAATATTAGTTTATATGAAATTCAGTTTTCAGTATTCGCAGGCTCAAAAATACATTTGCGAAGAATTTTCCACGCTAATTACATAAGAAGAAGATCTTCAATTTTAAAGTGGCAGATAGTTTGAGAACAGGTGATTGTTTGATTCGTTTTTTTATGCTTTGTCAACACTTTGCATGTTATTTAATGAAAATAAAAAATATTTTGAGATTGTAAGTAATTTTTGAGATAATAATAATTCAGTGATACAATTATTACTAATTAACCCATAGCTAGCGGAGAAGATTTGGATTCATGCCTTTCCCATGAGTAAGTGAATAAAACGGACTCAACGGGAATTGGAACTCAGCCCACCGATTAACAATTCCGAGCCATTATCCGTTACACAACGTTCACATCCAAGATCACAGCACCTGTTATTTTCAAGCGGTAACAAATCTAGGTACTGACTAGACTTGATGTTGCTTAACTTCTGTGATCATATAGGAGCCGGTATTACAACGTGATATGGCCGGAAACAGAGTTTGCTGAACGTTTTGAGAACCTGGATAATTCTTGCAGTTCTTTAGCATTTTGTATTTCAAGCATTCCATAGTAGACGACAAACATTGTCCTTTAAGTTTGAAGCAGTTTGTTATAGATATCCTTTTTTTGACCCAAGAGCTTTTTTCAAAAATAAATGTCTAGTGTTTAATTCCCATCAGGAAATACCAGAGGTCGGAATGGCATTTAATATCCATCAAGAACCTTCACTGATTGATTTGTTTGTTTAACGGCATATCAACTCCATATGGGTCATTTAACACATTGGCTCCCACACGAACCAGCGGAGTGTCGTCGTGGTCTGTCTGCAAGGCCCACGTGTCCCTCCGGTGGGCCGTTTTCCGTTTCTTTTCTATGAGGGTTATGGGAGTGGGATGCTATGATTGATCAGAATACACTAGAATCACAATTTTTTCCTAAAAAATTTAAATATCTTCCTTTTTTTTAATTCGTTTTATAAACTGTTGTTTTTTTGGTGACATTTTTTTACATTTTTACATACACAAAGCTGCACCATGATTTTCTCTAGGTCGTGTGAGACTCTGGGTTGTAAAATGGACTCAGGGTACCTAACAACACATCCGTTTGTCGTTGGTAATGAATACTACGTATGATATCCTTGCCTCACATATGAAAACGATGTAGCTTGTACCAAAATTAATTTAGATATATCGTTGGGAGAAGGGAAATGAGGCCTGGGTAAATCTAATTTTCTTGTGAGCTTTAATAAGAATACGATATATGTTATTCTGCTTTCACAATTGAATACATGGTAGATGATACTTAGCTTTTGTGCAGATACATGTTTGTGTGAATATAATTACTAGAAGTGGGGATATTTGTGTTTTATGTTATAGTTTCGTTGAAGTTATATTTTGGTTTGATTTGGTTTGGTTTGATTTAGTTTACGGCATATCAACCTCAACGGAATATTTAATGCCGAAATTTTTTTTTTATTGTTGGTAATGTTTTTTCAAACATCTATTACTAGTAATATTTTGGCTTCAAAAAAATCTATTTCTGATAATATTTTTTTTCAAAAAATATTGCTGGTAATTTTTTTTTTTTGTCTAAAATATATTGCTGATAATGTACTGATGTTAATATTTTTTTTCTTTTACAAAGTATTTCTGGTATTGAAACCTATTTTTACACTTTCATATTGTTTTGACCCCAATTTGGGTATTAACTATTTGCCCATATTTGGGACCCTAACAGGTGCTACCACCCCGAGTCAGGGTGGGCCTGGGAACACCAGCAATTAGTAGCTGGTTCCGCGCACCTCAGAAACTCCTGATCAGAGGCCTTGCGTCTTACCCTGGACGCGGATGTAGTTTATTGTCTTACCCTGGACGCGGATGTAGTTTATTGTCTTACCCTGGACGTGGATGTAGTTTATTGTCTTACCCTGGACGCGGATGTAGTTTATTGTCTTACTCTGGACGTGGATGTAGTTTATCGTCATACCCAGGAGGCGGATGTAGTTTATCATCATACCCAGGACGGAAGTTATATTTTGGAATATAGTTCGATTTCTTTAAGAAATTATATAGATTAATGTCCTGAAAGAATTCTTTCATGTTGGTTGTGTGAGCACTATTACACAGTAATATCATCGTACTTACAGTTATTTTTTACTGTCCTTATGTCTAGATTACTTTTTTTTCTTTTTTCCATAGCAGTCATACCCAGCTGGGCGATAAGAAAAAGCGTTCAATTAGAATGGAGCAAAAACAACATCAGGTTTAGATGTAACTGAGTCTATCTTGTTCAATTAATTATAAAGTACTTTCATTAAAAAAAATAATTTGAATTAATGCAGTTACTAATATAACAAAAGTAGTCTGTATTTATTCAATCAAAGTTAGCCGAGGACATGAAGAGGTAAAACCGACAACGTGAAGACCCATTTCAAAGCACAATTATTTTGGAGCTTTTCAAAATCAATTTGCCAGTGTGCTACCAGGGATGTAAAAGAAGATACATTTATAAAGCAATTTTTAACTTTGATAAAACGAAAAATAAGACAGAAACCAGTAAAAATCGTCATTTTTCGCTATTTACGCGGATTTTCACTATATGGGTGGACTCAGTTACTTATTAAAATGATTATTAAACAATCAACTTATTGTTGGCTACAATTGAGTGAAGTTTGTATTAGATTGCTTTAAAATTGAGGGAGTTTTTGTTTAAAATTTGTGTTGAAATCGATTTGTGTTGAAATAGATTTTTTTCTTTTTCGCGCTTTTTCGCTAAACGCCGCCGCGTAGAAAAGAAAATAAGGTATCGTGCAGCTCGTCATGTGGTAAGTAACCTACATACCAAGTTTGAACGAAATCTTTAGAAATTATCGCATTATTTATATGCTGACTATTATCCACATCTTTGTTATTCTAAGACTGTAACCCTAGTCCTAGAAAGAGGATTAACAGCCTGTTTCCCTGAAAAACAAATTTTCAGAAAAATATTTTATAAATTTCAACCAACTGACTGCTCAGTAAATGAAAGTCGATTGTTTCCTTATAAGAAAACGGCTCATATTACTGAAAGCATTTTCACAAGCCAAACTCCGAGGCAACGAAATTTACACCAAAGAGAGAGAAATAGAAACAGTTAGAGAGAGAGAGGGGGGACAGACAGGTAGATACAGAGAAAGCAAGAGGTATTTTAACTGCATTCAGCCCAAACATGAAACTGAGGCTCTCAAGTAGAGAATTCATTCGTAGCGCCTGTTGCTGTTTATCTGTTTGATGTTTCGTTTATTTGTGCGATGGTAACGTTTCTTTCTGTTTTGAAAGTTTTTCTCTACTTTTTTTTTTTTTTTTTTTTGCCGAGGCGGGAATTTTCGTTTTCTGATAGACACGTTCAGTTTTTTTGTTGAAAGAATAAATAAAAGCGAGTATTTTTCAAGTTGAGTCTAGTAAGTAATTCATCATCGCAAGTAGTGAATGCGGCTGACATAGCAAAGAGTCTGAGAATCCCAAAATCAATTCTAATTACAATCAATCTCTCCTTGAGAGAATCGTAGAATTGGTTTCAAATCATTTTCAATCAAACCAGAATAAAACTCTCAGTTTATATATATATATATATATATATATTAAAAAGAAGAGAGAAACCGCAAATGTTTTTGGTTGTAATGTGGATTTAAAAAAAACATTATGCTTTATTTTCCATAATTTTGCTACACGCGTTTCTAATTTCGCGACCGTCATCAGGCAACGGGTGGAGATTTCTACATATTATTAAGAAAATATATGTTTTTTGATAATTATTTTTAATAATATGTGGAAATCTCCACCCTTTGCCTGATGACGGTCGCGAAATCGGAAACCCGTGTAGCAAAATTATGGAAAATAAAGCATAATGTTTTTTTTAAATCCACATTACAACCAAAAACATTTTCAGTTTTTCTTTTTAATATAAACACTTTTCTCTCGTTGGAACTACTATTACCTCTTCCTTTTATATATATATATATATATATATATATATATATATATATATATATATATATATATAGTGGACTCTACTCGACATATGAGGGTCAAGCAGCTCAGTTCATATGAACCGACAGCCAGACACTAGCACATATGATGGTGCACTACCTGCCACAAGGTCCCCATATGACCCTAGTCAGGTTTTGAATTCAGAGTTGTCCTTCTCCTAAATCAGTTGCCATCCACGGCCATAGAAAACAATATGTCCATAGATGGATGGAGCAGAGGATTAATAGCTTTCGCAAGTGTATTCGCACGTAATTGAATGTAATGGATTCGAACTCTGCTCTCCGATTCCTCAATCTGCTATGCACTACTCCAACGTGCCTCCTATCTATCTATCTATATATATATATATATGTGTGTGTCTGTGTGTGTAAATTTGTTCCTCTTAGTCTCTCTCATTTGTATATATATATATATATATATATATATATATATATATATATATATATATATAAATATGGATCCTGAAGTCAACACCGAGCGGCAACAGTCTGTTCCCTGCGTGAACACAATCTTCAGGCCATGTGTGTTGTGTTTTAGATCGACTATTTATCTTAGGTTTTCAATGGTTCATTTTATGTTGCGAGGTCTATTATAGCATTCTAACGGTTATACCGTTGGCTTTAATGGTCATGTTTCAAATTATCCAGTCTATTGGGTAGAAATAATTGTCGACACGAAACCCTTTATTTGTAATTATTTTACA